AAGAACAGCTTTATATGTTCTCGAGAATATTGGCGTCATTTCATTCATTTTGTAGTTCTACCTTATAAGGCATAACTTAATTAACTATTTAAAGTAAAACATTAATTAAAAGTTATATGAACTATCCGACTACTGCATCGCGACTTATAAAATTACGATAACGATTTTCTCGAGATTTGATTGATTGTTAGTGATTCCGAGCGCTTCAGTGGTCATTACGTCAGGACTCGTAAGTGTAGTGAGTGTTGTTTGCTCATCTTGCCCGCTGGACGGCGAGATCCGGCGCCGACCAGACGTCGGCAAGCGATTTTTGCGCAAACAGGTATCTCCTACCAGCGTGGCACCGCCCCAGCCGGGACAAGCTCTAAGCTCCCGACCGGTCTCCCGGCATGTGGGGTAGTGTAGTGCATGTAAGAGTAAGGGATTAGGATAGGAAAAGGAAGAAGTAGGAAACATCGCGTGCGGTTTGTGGCCCGTTTGTTAGGGTACTACTCCGGCATTCGCCTGGTATTGATCGGAGAAATCACGGAAAACTATCGATCAGAGCAGCCGGCCGCTAGAATGCTCCTCCAGACAGCGAATGAATGCGACCTAGCTGAGAAATTTGTGTCGAAAATCCTGCCACCGTCGTGTCTCGAGCCTAGAGCCTCTGGACCAGAGAGACAGCAGGGACATCAATTGATGGCCAGAGCCATCTCTCCCGGTTTACAAGAATATAACGGTTCTACTATTAGGAAGCAGAAAAAGTGAGATAATTTCAAAAAAATTATACTTTCGGCGGCGATAGATTGCAGCTGGCTATGTGGCAAGTTCCTATAGCCAACCGAGACCAAAGGAAAAACGCAACTAATAAGTCTGTGACATAAGTAGTACCACTAGTTTCTAGAGTTAGAGCGCAGCGAGAAGACGGAATAATTGAAGTTCCTGTTTGTTGCAAAGCTTTTAGGTCATTGCATGGTATAACAAAAAGCAAATTGGAGTACATTCAGTCGTCCCTGAAATGTACCGGCTCATCACCGCAGGAATCTTAAAAATAGAAAGCTTGCTGTTCCAACTGAAGTGAGGGAATTTGTCTCAGCACATATTAAATCCCTCAGAGGTAATAATATCACTACACATCCACAAAACTGACAAAGTTTATTTGTACACAGAATTGGACATACAGAAAACGTTCAAGTTATTTCTTGAGATATTTCCAGTCTACAGTAATAAAGTCTCTCAAGATTCGTACAGGCGATATTCAAAATAGTGTATCATTTGGCTAACCCGGGTCTGATACATGTGATGCATTTGAAGTCAGTAATGTCGCTGAAACTGACGAGAGAAAATCGAAAGATATGAAGATCCAACGAGAACTGCACTTAAAGGGAGCTCAAGCTTTCTATGATCGAAACAAAATGCAAAATCAGTTTCCTCATTCTTTTGAAGCAGTAGCACTTATTTTTCAAAAAATGTTTTATTGCTTAATATCATATGTATTCATTCAACATACACATTTTGTTCTGCCAAAAGCTTGTTTTTCACGTACCCCGAGACGGTTTGAAGGGTACTATAGAGGTAATATCCTTCCATGACTTACGTGAATTTTTCATGTTATAGATGAAAAACTGAGGGTTCTCGAAATATTCTGTGACTCATATGGAGGTCAACATGTTTCGGTTCATGTATTGTTATACTCTATCGGAAACGACTCTCCTCAACGAAAATTATTTTCCCCTCGACACTCATGCTTCGAGTGCAATAAAAATATGGGACTAGTGAATTTGAAAATCAGAATGAAACTACCAAATGAATGGTACGATTCTTCGAAAAGTGCAAGAAGCCTGCTCCATTTGGTGTCATTCCTGTGAAAAGAAGTTTGATTAGAGATTGAAACACATTCTAAACGGAAACTTACAAGACTTTCTTGCTGAAATGCCCTTTCCCAGTTCAAGATAAGAAAGAAGTTTGTGTCAGAGAATCACGTAGGATTGATATTGAATCAATCAAATTATAACGTATCATTTTGAATACCCAACATTACAAAAATAGTTACCAAATGGAAAAAGAATGAGAAGGCACCTTTGTCTCGTGAATGAAGAAAACATAGCCAAAAAAAGAAATCAAAAATATCTTCAAACACATAGTACAGAAGACTACTGAATATAAAAGATATAGAGCTCAGACAAGAAGAATAAAACGGAACATTAAAAGAGAAGACTGGAAGAAATTTGCGATAAGTAACGCTAGAAATGAATATCACGGGCCCCCCAGAGAAGTGGTTTCAAAATATTAAGAATGCTGAGTTCGGACACAAGGGACAAAATCAATTTAGACCTAATTCCGAAGATAAACCATTACACAAGAATTTGAAATAGCAACAGACCACCTAGTATAAGCAGAAATGATAAAGAAATTACTGAACTAGTAGAGTATGGGAAATAACTATACAGTAACTAGAAGCAGTACTATAGAAAGCCAGAAAACAGGTGTGGATGAAATCCCAATAGAACTTCTAGAATAGAGAATACCCTAACAAAACTACTCAACAAAGCTTGGAAAGAGTATTCATTTCCAAGAGAATTGCAGATAGGTGTAGTGATAAATTTACACAAGAAAGGATCAAAAACAGATTGCAACAACTATAGAGCAATCACTCTCCTGTCTACAGTATCAAAACTTTTTGCTATTATAGAAATAGATTAAATGAATAGAGCAAAAATTCTTGGGAGAAGAACAAAATGGATTTAGAAAGGGCAGAAGTACAAAAGATGCTATTTTCACAGAACATATAATCCTGGACAAATGAAATTAAGTGAATCTTCCAACTTTTCTCCTCTAGACTTTGAAAAAGGCTATGATAGGGTGAACAAAAAAAACAAAAAAACGTGGGAAATACTGGAAGATGAAGAGATACCATACCTACAGACCTAATAAAATGAATCCAGAGTTTGTATAAAGACTCCCAAATAGAAAAGAAAGAAATAGAAATTCATCTCAGAAAAGAATCTCAAGAAAGAAAAATTTAAAAATATAACGGGGTAAATGTTAATAATCAAGAAAATCTTTGGAAGAGAAAACAAAACTAAGAATACATAACATCTAAGCTAACGTTAATATATGGATCAGAAATATGGATCCTAAAACAAAGAGACTGTCAGAGATTAGAAGCCACACAAATGAGACTTTTCCAGCACCTGGTAGGAACTACACATCTAGATCGACAAAGAAACACTGAAATCAGAAAAAAATTCACAGCAAAATATAGTGGATGATATTAAAGAGAACCAAAGGAGATGGTTTTCGCATGTGCAAAGAATCCAAGAGGAAAGATTTCCTAAAGCAGTTTTATATTATAAACTTATAGGGTGAAGAAATACAGGAAGACCCAACAAAAGAGGCATATCTCAGGAACATCTGAAGGAATAATCATCAGACTTACAGTCTTAACTGTACAAATTAGGCAAAATATTTTTTGGACATTTCACATATTTCAGTGCTAGAAGAAATTAATATGTTTAAGAGGATTTTTGTTTTAAACGTAGCCAAATTTGAATTGGTAAATTAATCACATGAATAAATCCTGTAATATTATTCATAGTTACAATAAAAATATAATTCAATTTTACTAAATATACTGTCAAAATTCAGCCACCCAAAACAATTCAGAATCATCCTGCTTATTTGCAGGTTTCAATGAGGATTGTATGCATGTGATCTTTCATTGTCATGATGTGCTCAGATATGCAGTAACCAATCAGATTGCTATAGAAAATGAAAAATCCCATGTTGCAGCCTGAACAGAAGAAAACCAGTGCCAATATTCTTTTTATTTTTTAAGTTTAGAATATGCCCAACCCCCAAAAAATTCTTAATAATTTGGGGAAACAACAGCCCAAATTGAAATTATTTTATATCTTCCACAAATTTTCATTCCAAAAATTATTTTTTTTAAGCAATGCACATTTTTTTTGTTTAACCCTAGAACACTAAGTATGTTTTCTGGTATGTTATTACTAACCATGAGTTGAATCACCTAAGACAAAACACATGCAATTAATAAATTTTTGTTTCATTTTCCTGGGTTTTCAAAGTATTACACAAAAAATAAATCACTGAAACAATAATTCACACTGTATAAAAATTACAATTACATTTTTGGCTAAAAAATGTCCCAAAAATTAAGGTTGGTATGATTTAAATCAAATGATTATTTTAAAAAAATCAATATTTATTATTTGTAATATGTGAAAATATTTGAATTTTAAATATTTGTAAATTAAAAATTACTCAGATAAAAATACTTAAATCAATTACAAAATTGATACAAAGAATATATATTTCTTACAAATTTTTTCACATAATGGAACAATTTTGAGAAAATAAAATACAATAAAAAAACTAAACTTATGAAACGAAGAACAATAAACAATTTGTAGTTATATACTAATAGACTTTGATGACAGAATAGTTTTTATCCACCATTTGTTGGTAGATAAAAAATAATTTAGCAGTAATACACACACAGTTTTGAGAAAAACACCTTTAAAACTTTAACATTGTCTATAATTCTAGATTTATATTAAGGTGTTTGCTAAAGGTACTTAAAGTGCATCATAAAAATGGCAAGTATTACAAAAAATGAAATTTTATTAATACTCTAAAACAGGATGAATAGAATCACTTATGTTTAAAGACTTGGTATAGTTATGAAACAAAATTCATTTTATGGGTCTTGATCTGTAGTTTTTAATCCTATTTCTGATTTATTCTTAATTGTTAAAAGGGAATTATTATTATTATTATTATTTTAACGACTAGGTTATATTGGTCTCATGGTCAGAATGAAATGGATCAACCAATTTTCATTACTTAATGCATTGAGATGCTTGTTGAGTAATAGGATCACTTAATTTTACAATAAATATTTTATTAAAAAATTTTTTTTTTAAGGTTTGCAAAATAGGAAACTGGAAAAGAAATAGTAAATACATATACTACTGCAATTATTTTATGTATAAAAAGTTACAAAATTATCATAAGAAATAAAATCAAAATAATAAAACTTAGAATGCGTACAAATGGTCAACAAAAAATGTCCCCTTTGAATTTTGGAGACTTTTATTCTCCTCTCACTTCACATACATCGTCGATACCTGGGTAGACAAATACAGTTGTTTTCTTTCCAACCCTCTTTCAGAGGCACTTCTCTGTTTGTAGGGGTTCAAAGGTGATGGCAATTTTTGCCTATGAATCTCATTTCGCTTGTTTGAATTGTATTTAACTATGACAAAGTCACCAGGAAGCAGTTCATAAGGGACAATCTTCTCAGATTCTCTACTGTTGCTTGTGCTGGTGCTTTCTCTTGCTGTCTGGAATTATTGTTGGAATATATTGGTGAGTTTTGTTCAGGATCTTCATCAGATTCTTTTTCATACATTTTGGGATCATTAGATTCTTTTTCATTAATTTCAGGGAAATCTTCTAAAGATATACTTATTCAGCATGTATAGGAACAATACACAGGCATTTCATTGGTTCCTTGCAATTCTTGCAACAGCTCGATTAGGGCTTGATCAACGTCCCCTACATTGGTGTATTCTTAATAACTCTCTACACCAGGGACCCTGCTTATTACTTTATTGCTTGGCCAAGATTATCCAAAAGAGATATGAGTGACTGAGCATTGGAATTTCAGGGATTTTCTCAGAGGTTTCACTCTATATCTACCCGTTTCATTTGTTTGTTCACATTGTTGGAAAACAAATTTTTGAAATGTAAATAGCAAGTTCCCTTCTGCTTCCTCGCAATTCCCAATAATATTGGCACAGTTCTTATTATTAAATAATAATGTCCGGTAGGAATTAAAAAAATTGTTGAGGAGTAGGTTTTGAATTTGGTCCATTATAACTTCTGATAGAGCTTAAAAAAATTTTCAAGAGCATCCTGGTTTATTCGACCTTTCACATTAAAGATTCACATTCCTGGTTCTAAAGAGGCTGAACCCAAGTTTGGTTTATTTATGGCTTAATGGCTTAATGACATGAAACCATCGATCATAAAGATCCAATTTGTTAAGGATGGAACTTTTTCCTCTTTGTGAGTGGTTGGGTTCACAAATAGCATTTGTTAATTTTTTTACAAATTTTTACAAAATTTATTAATTTTGCTTCCATCCAAAAAAGGTCTGCGAAGGCTACCATTTGATACAGATGATAAATTAAAATCTGCTTTCTCATTGCAGGAATCAAATAAATCATTTAAAAAAATTTAAAACTTGTGCTGTTGCCAGACCTTCCTTTTTAGGAATTTAAAGTTTTCGATGAAGTTTCAAATTCAACTGCAAAAAAATAGAAATTAGTCACATCCTAAAATATTATTGCACAATTTGTTATGTATTTGTATGTACTACGCAGATGCAAAAAATTAAAAAATATTGGACCCTCTATTCTTGAACTGATGAAATCTTATCATAATGTTTGCTTGTAGCTCCTGAACACATACTAACATTAAACGTCCAGTATTTGTGAGAGGTGATTCAATCAATTCAAGAGTAGAATTCATGAATAAATAATAAATGTGAAATTATGAAATGAATAAACATGTATATGAAATGAAATTGTGCTAGCAAATAAATATTTAAATATATAAATACCTTCTAGATATAAATTCTCTGTATGCCAACACTGATTTACTAAAAGTCTGTGTGGCACATTTAACTCTCATTATTTTATTTTCTTGGATAGAATATGTACATCAGAATTTCCTCACGTCCTTATTAATATTTTTTACATGTCTATCAATGCTATAGGCCATTTCTATGATGTGCTATGAAGCTAATTTAGGTTCCTTCAAATTTCCACATCGATTTCCAAATTTTTTGTTAAAAGATTATTTCTAATTCATTTCTGTAAATGAGGCACATCAAACAGGTGAATTACATCTGCTTTGGCAATGGGGTAAGGTAATCCTACAAATAATGTTTTCTTTATTTTCTGACAATTGTATAAATATAAAACATTTATATAAAATATTATACTAAAAATAATGGGGAAAATATTAAAGAAAATGATGTACAAAATAAATTCCACACAGCTATACAATTGAAAAATCTGTCAATGAATCAGTCATTGTATTTGTTGTAATATTAATATTACAAAAATTCTAAAGAGATGAAAAAATTTCAAAACTAAAATTATAAAAGTTTTTTTTTTTATTTACTGAACACAAATTATTAAAAAATCATATGCCTAGAAAAATGAGAAATATGACTATATAAACATTTGAATTTACAAACAAAATATTTACTTAGAGCATTGTTTGCTTTTATTCCCCATTATGTAGTTTCTTTTAACAAGCTTTCACAATCATTCCATCATTTCACAATGGACAGTCCCCATTTTTTTTTTTACCCTTTCTTAATGGGCAATTTGTTTTTAAAGTTGTATTTGTCATGAAAGTTATTTCTACATCAATTATTTTAAATATTTGTGTAATAAACCTAAAATGACATTTACCAACAATATTAAAGCCAGCATGTGTAACACCTCTAATGCAGATCTTCATACATCTTATTAGCTGATGTGCTGATGTTTGATGGCAACAGAAACCAAATAAAATGGGAAGCTTCCACTCTGAGATTATGCCTTTCAACATACAAAACAGTGTGGTTTGCTAATTTATCGGTTCGATTGGTTCCCCAATCTTCCATTCTCATTTTTAAACCCCATGACTGTCATAGTTCACTCTTGCTAGCAATTGTGTTCTACATAAGCACCCAAACTTTGTCAATGGGGACATTTTTTGCACAACTATCTTTCAGATTTTCCTCTTCTTCCTTTCAGATAATCTTCCAATTAGATTCCTTTTCAGATAATCTCATTAACACCTGTGCTAATGAGGACGGTTTTCATTAAATTTATTAATGTTTTTATTTAAGACAGAGGTTTCAATCTTCTCATAAAATTGCAACATTTTCTTTTGGCCATTGTGTACAATTTTTATCATCTGTGCTGAAGTATTTTCCCTGTAAAGTAGAACAAAATATTAGTTTCAAATTATATTATAAAATGTGAAAAATATTTGCACATTGTACAAGTGCATGGAGGGTGATGCTTATCTCTTATTAGGAATAAACTTGTATTTCACAAAATGGTTTTAAAATTATAATTATAGTAATATGTATGCATATCACACATTAAAAAAATAAATAAGACATACATTAAATAATAAAAAAAAGATATGTTTTTTGTAAATGCTAATTCACATTAATATATAACATGCTTTTATAAACTGTAGTTAATAGTGTTTTAATATGCATTTTTTGAATTTAGTCTTGGGTATATTTTTATATTCACTATCAAATATGCATATATTTATTTATAAACATGCATTCTCGTTAGTGGTACTAAATTAATTCACAAAAGCCATCTGTTTGTATTACATCTTTCCCTACTTGTTTACCAATTCTACTTCAACTAGTACGCTACTTGACCAACTATGCTACTTTTCTATACCACTACTACTCATCCTTCTAATTTATTCACTTTTAATAATGTTGCAGTTTACAAGGTGGTACAACTTTCATTACTTCTCAATTACTTGTAGGACATTTGAAATTCTTTATCATTTAAATTAGGAGCTGAAAGTAGTAAAAAGTGATCATGTATTAGGAGACATGTTAAAACTACTAAAAAGACAATTCTTTCTTTTCATTTGTTCTACAACCCACTTTACACATTGGCCTGACAACCATGTATTGGGAATCCTGCCCACTCTTTTTTGATAAAAAATTGAGAGTGTTATGTGGCAACCAGGGAACACCTCAAGACCAGAAACCAAGGGACGAGAGTGGGAACCAAAAGGCGATGAAAACAACTGATTTGATTACAGCCACCATGTGAACTCATAGCTTGTATATCTTAGTAAAAGAATTCACAGCAACCCTAGCCATATATTTACACATAAAAGATATAAGAAAATAATGATTTGTCCTAAATTTACTTTCGTGTATAAAAAATAATTAATGGTGAGTAAAAGAGTAAAATCATTTTTGCAAAGATTTATAAACATAATACTTTCTTATATAAATATAAGAAAAATACAACATATATACACACCATATATGTGTATATATCTATATAAATTGTTATATTCTATTAATTAAATTTTATTTTAAATTGTACTTCCTTCTTATCCTTTCAATAGATAATTTTTTTATACGTAATTGACATCTGTTTGTAGTACTGGTAAAAAGTATAAAATTTTTAAAATAATTATTAGTAATTAACTATAATGGATTATTAAGGATTATAATTGTGAAAATTAAAACTAGTAGCAAGAATTATTTACTGGGTTTGTGCTTTAAAATTATACAGTAAAATCTGTCTACACCGTAACCTGTACAAGCCGGAAGCCTGCCTTAACCAGAAAATTTCTTCAGCCCGTGAAGGTAAATGGCATTTTACACACAATAAAACGAAACCTCTCCAATGCACAAATGAAACGGTTTTTCATGTCCTCCAGGGCAAAATTTTGTTTTTTATACAGAATTCCTAAGAATTTAATGCAATTGCCAAAAAGGCAAGATATTCTGAATTAAATTAATGCATCTGCAAGCTTGTTTTACATTCTCAATCCCTGCAACACACGATTTAGCCGTGGCAGCCGGTCATGGAAGGAGAGGGGCTTCGGCTGACAGCATCGAATTTGACCTTGGAGTTGCACGTTTCTCAAAGCATACCATAGGGGAATTTCCTCTCTCCTGACTCTCAGAGCTTGGGAAGGTCATGGCTTCTACCCACTAATTTCCCTGCCCCATGTTGAAAATCATAACTCTTCAATGAGATACGCATTGCTCTGGGTCATGCAAGGGTAGCAGATAGTCATAGAACTCTGTTTTGATGCATTGTACATTGAAAGAGCCAGCAAGCAGTCCGAATAGAGCCAGTAAGATGTGTATTTTTCAACTCAGAAGCTGTGAGCGAAGAGTGTTTAATATTTATTTATTGGTGATTTCTTCCATAAATATGTCACATATTTACGTATTTTTATATTTATAATAAAATAATGTAATTACTTTCAGGGCAGAAACGTCATATCACAAGTGGCAATAATACACAATACATATAAAATAGACAACCTTGCATAAAACGGAAACTTACCTAAACCAGAATTTTTTGTGTCCCGATCGATTGTGGCTAAGACAGATTTTATTGTATCTTTTAATTTTTAATCTTAAGATTTTAATTTTTCTATATAAGTAATTTTTAAGAAAAATTATATTTTCATCTTAAATTCAATTTCCGCTGGAATACCATAATTCTCTGATTTTAGAGACATAAATACATAATAGAATACTAATAATACATTTAAACTGTAGAAAATTAATGAAAACTTATTATTAATACTAAACGTAATGGCAAACACTTTATATTTCCTTGTAATGCAAATGAAATACCTGAGGTTTTTGTCAAAATTATTTATAAGAAAGTCAGTCTTGCTGTTCTTTGGAAAATTTTCCAAAGATCTGTGGAACTGCTTCAGAAACACCTTTCTGATTTATTATATTTGTATTTTTGTTTCTGGTACATCTGAAAAGAAATGAAAAGGTAATGACTGTATTAATAACTATTACTATTGAATAAACATAGATTGAACTATACTTTTAAATAAATTTGTAATTTTACCTATAATCTGCATAGTAGGAGATAGCCCTAACACTTCCTCCTGTTCTGCTATATTTGCTATTGGTACATTGAAAATAAATAAGAAAAAAGCATTTTATAATTACATACACATACATGTATAATACATATGTAATAAATAAAATTAAGAAATATTGTATATATTTTTAGACTTGTGATAGTACCTAAATTTTGTGTGGAACGAGATAGCTCTGCAAATGAAACTGGTATATGCTGATGATCACGTACAGTTATGGCCAAAGCATCTGAAAGTAAATGAAAGCCAGCATATTATCAATTAACATTATATTTATAGTTCATGAATTAACTCAGATTATTAAACTTGTTTCATTATGTACTAGTTTTTAATATATGTATTTTTTTATAAATTTGAAATAGTACCTATAATTTGTTAAGGAGGTGTCTGTAATTTGTCTGGAGGATCATTATTTGCGGGTACATCTGAAAATATTAATTAGTAATAAATACATATTTCATTTATTCATTCAATTTCTTTACTAAAAAAAGAATAGTAGTGTTAGAAGCAAATGTACTGAATTGTTGCTATACAAAACAGTTTAGAGATTCATTTAGAGGATGTTAAATAATGCTTTTCTGAAATTAAAAAAATGTAAGTTATAAAATTAAATTTTCCTTTCAATTTTATATAATTCTATTTAACTTTCTTTGAAAAATGTAAACTTCCATTTGAATTGTGCTTTTCTTTTGTTTCCTGTATGCAGTATAAATAAAGATACAATACAATTATCACATTGAGAAACAATTTGAAGTAAGAGTTGTATATTAACATACTTAGATGATCAATTAGTTTTTATTCAGCATTTAAATTGTCTGTAGATAAAAACCAAATGCAGCAATACCACCCTAACACACACCAAGCTTGCTTAGAGAAAACTGCATTTAAAGTTTCAAGAATGTCCACAATTCTAGATTCATACTCAAATGTGAGTTAAAGCGCCATAAAGTACATCTTAATGGGGATGAGTATTAATAAAAATGGAATTTTATTAATACTCATTTAAAGAACAAAATTCATATTTTTTAAAGTAATGAAAATAGTAGTTAATCTTACTGTTATTAACAATATTAACCTTTTTCATGTGTATATTGATAAAACTCCATTAGAAGTGGGAAGCATACTTCCCATTGAACATTAATGGAAAAGTAGGCAAGTAACAACCATTATATCCAGTATTTTCGATAACTGGACAACTCTAGTAGAATTTAATTCTAGACGAACTTTTCAAAAACGTCTAACATTGTTAAGTTCAAGAGTTAAGATGAATTCAGTTGTTTTCAACAATAAGTGCATTTTGATTAGGGCAGTATTACACACAAAAAATGGTAAAATTTCTTTGAAAAAGAATGCATTTTTTCTAAATTATGCTAATAGATGGTGCTACAAGCTTATTCAATAATGACAACACAAGAGAAGTGTTTCAAGAGCATGAAACAATAAGTAACTCAAATTTAAAAATTCTGTGGGTTATGGCAATATTGCCATGGATCCCTCAAATATATATCTTCATTTTTTTTACATAAAATTGGAATAATTTAATGATAAATTTAAAAACTGATGTTTTAATTTTTTTTTGCTTTTAAAGTAATTAAAGATAAATAAACCACTTAAATATTTTGGCTTAAAGTAATAACATCTAATACAATTTTATTTTTTTTAACTATTAGTTAAATAAAAATTATCTCATTTACATAAAAAAATCTGAATTTTTTATAAACATGTTTTTCCGTCCTAGATAACACATACCAGGCTTCTCTTTAGCTTGCCGCTCATGTGGAACCATTAACAAGGCACATCATGTCTATTGAAGGTCAAGCATTTTTATTAAAAGTTACTATCAATTTTGAGAACCCTGTAGGGTTGTCACGTTCATCTCATACAAGGGAAAGACCTTGTAATATCCATCACTGATTTAACTACAATACAAATGTGGAACTTATTTCCATATCACAGCCCTACAGGAAATTTGAAAATCTTGAAATTATTCTAACAAAACCTCAATGTTGTACAGAGTACAAAATTATTACTTGCAGCAACTTCAATTAACTAATGAAATTCTATTAAAATCATACAATCTTCAAACAACCGTCAACACATCTACCCAAGTATTGTATGAAAATAATTCAATACAAACAACTTACCAAGAAACCTATAACTGTTCCCAAAGAAACATAATGTAATTCCACAACTTGCTCAGATTAGAAACTTGGGAAGAAGTGTGCAAGGCAACTGATGCAAATGATAAGTCGCTGGTCCTGCTTTGAACGAGGATCTCAGTTATGTCCTGGATTTCTATTTCACAATGCCAGATTTTCAGTTTGAGTGGCTTGGACATTCCCTTAGAGGGAAGAGATATGCATGGGCCACCCTTTTGAGTCGCATCTATTGACACCTGTGCTCAACCCCACAACAATTCCTGAGTGCAGGTACCACGAGGCGCAAAAAGGTGCCCAAAACATGGTGGAGAGAGCAATAGAAGTCAGGAAGCAACGCTTCAGATGTTGAAAGCGAGGTCTAAGCCTGAAACTAGAGAACACTGCTACAGTGATCTGTGCAACCAGTGTTCTACACAATGCCCAAACAATCTGGGATCCTTTGCCTGAAGAGGAAGAAAGAGTACAGAAAGAGAATGATGTTTATATTGGAAATCATTAGCCGAGGTTTATGCTGGAAATCATTGCCCAACGATGTTTATAAATACACACTTTCATTGAAATAAGAGTAACTTGATTGCAAATAAAACAATAATTGAGAAGGCATAATCATTTATTTTTTAGCAACTTCTAATTCCTTCAATAATATTTTTTCTTTCAACTCTTCAATCCTGAGCTGCTTTTCCAAAATTTTGGTTTTTAGATCATGAAGTTCTCTTTCATTTTGCATTTTTACTATATGCATTTCTTCCTGCTGTTTAATTCCTTCATCTAGTTTTTTTATTCTCTTGCTTATTTCCGGATCAAATATTGTTGATTTTCTTCGCCTTCTATTTGTTGTAGGAGTCATTACTGCAAAGTAAATAAAATAATGAGACTTCCAACACTCCTAATATATGCAACTTATATTTTTGTAGCATTTGATGAATTATAGTCTTAACCCTTGTTCCATTTTGATTATAGTGACTTTTGATGTTTGATAAGCTGAGACACTGTTGTACAGTCAGGAGCTTCAATACCAAAAATGACGTTGTAATGAAGCTGTTAATTGAATATCCATATCCAGCTGGTGAAACATGCCTCTATAATTAAATTGGAGTAAATTTAATTTTCTTTCAGATACTTAGTATCGATAATTACAGGAAACAGTACTCATCTTGATTCAAAATTATTTCAAATTATAATTAAAACTGTTGACTCAAAAATTGTGGCCATCAAAGTTTTACTTCCTGGGTCTTGATGTATTTTTTATTTTGACACATTCTAAATACATGGAAAATTTTCAGTTTTAGTTTTTTAAATGTGATTATTTAGAAGTTCTTGCTCTTTATTTTCCTCCATTCAGATTTGGTTCAAGACAAATAGCTTCTTAGTACTTCCAAAAAAAGTACTTCCAAAAAATCTTGAATTTTTTTCACATCAAAATCTGATCTGTATAGTTTAAAATTAACAATTAAGTGAAATGAAAAACTATTTTAAGAGCATTATTAGCACTTAATGAAGAACTGAATAATATTCTTTTGAAAATGTTTTTACCGCGTAAATATAAATAAAATTTAAAAAGTTGCATAGGGAGAGTGCCAGTGCTAGAGAATTTTGGACATGGAGCAATATTGAAATGTAGCCCTCCCCCAATTCAGAATGTAAGAGTTGTATCAAGAAACCATACGAGTTATTTTATTTCAACACGTAACAAAAATTACAATGTTTTAAGATAAAAAATGGGTTGGAAAATACATTTAAAAAAATAGTTTTTTTAAAGTACAAGTATTTAGTAATCAAATAATACAATTACTGCAGAGAGCTTAAAAAATTGATTAATTAGTGTTTAACAAAATCACTTGTTAAATACATGAAATAATAAATATGAATTTAAGTTGAACCAATTTTAATGTCCAAGTCATTTGATTCATTTCATAGAGTCTGATGTTACAAATAATAACTACAATTATTAAACTACAAGATAAAAAATGAATTGAAAACTTTATGAAATATCAGACAACTATTATAACTTATAACATTGTGACGACAATTTTCTGAAGTTCTAGTTTCTTTTTCTACTTTTTACTCATTTTTTCCCATCAACCACTTCATCGGGCTCTGTGTGATCGTCCAGTCTGCTCATGCCTAGAGCCAGCACTGCATGGTGTAATGCACTCACATGTAATCATAATGATATGACACATAACAATTTAAATATTAAGTTGTGAAATAATACATTTTTTCTATATAAAATCTTATTGTATGCAGAAAGTACTGCAGTGTGCTGATTCAGAACTTTTCTTTTAAAAAGGTTACTAACAGAGAGAAAAACTGTACTTTCTTTAACTTCTCATTAGAGCTTAAAACAAAAATTGAACATACCATTTACAGGATTTTCAATTTCTGGATCTGGTGAAGTAGTTGCATTACTGTTAGCAACAGGCTCAGTAATCTCAATGTTACTATCAACAGCAGCAGCTGTCTTAATATTACAACTACTGTTACTATTGCTATTATCAGATATAACTGTAGCAATAATATTTCCACAAGCTACACTGCTATTACTAGTAGCATCGTCAGCAGCACTTGTTGCACTAGAAGCAGGTGCAGCGGAAGCCAACTTCAAGCTGTGAGCAGAATCAAACTTATTCTGCATTTTCTCAGCTATGTAGGGGGCAATTGCCAGCACATCTGCCCGTACATAAACAGTAAAAGAATGTGTGCACAAATTTTTTTTATGGTATCACAATTGATAAATAAATTAAATAAAATCACCTTGCTATCATATGTATATCCATCCCTTGTTTCCATTCGATAACGTGATTCGGCAGTCAATGCTGTCTTTGAGATAGATTTTAACTTTTCCCAACATCTGAAGTACAAAATAATGTGGTTTTAATCAGTCGTGAGATGAAAGATACATTCAAATAATATATAACTACAATAAATTGTCAAGCATAAAGGTCCTTTCAAAGTTCCTTTTAAATATCTATGAATTGACTTTTAATGTAAATATTTCATTGGATTATTGTATCCATATACACAAACCTTTCAAATAACACAAAAATATAAATACATTAACACGGTACATACCTTTTCAACTGTTCCACGTTGCGGTAGCTAACACCCTCATGTGCATTAAAATTGTCGGCAATTTTCTGCCATGCCGAAGTTTTAGAAACTTTCGAGGTCACATCACATTTTTTTCTTTCTACGACGTTTTTAAAATTGCTTACCTCGCCCACCAATATAGTTTTTTCCGTTTCTGTGAAGGGAGGACTCTTCTTGGCCGACATTTTCCAATATTACTACAAATTACAACACAAAACAGCTCATGAATAACGCGAACCACTTACAAATTTGATGGGAGGATGAAACACTGATGCTTTATCATGCTTTACTGAGTAGTCTACTCTCCGAAAAACCGCGGGCACAAAACAAGAGAATTCTTATACCAACTCTCGCAAAGTGAAATTATTAATAAATCAATGTCAAATCCTGGCTAATGACAACCACGATTTATTTGCATAATAAAACTTTTTTTAAAATAATATTGTGTGTCGGAGCAATAAATTCAATGACTGAATATTAACCACAAACAATGGCATTTAAATGCATAATTCTAGTACCTTTCCTTATAATTTTCATCACTTCCCACAATGCTGGCAGTACGTCCCGAGCCAACTGATAGGAATCTATTACTTAGGAAAGGTTTGGGAGAAGTTTTAAATTTCCAGGCCACCCTATCCACCAAAACACCAGATATAACACGACACACACACATAACTAGATTCTAACACGTAATCATAGGCACTGCGGACGGCTTAATTCATACAACAACCTTCAATATCATTGCATTGGCGCCTGAAAGCCTGTACCGACAACCACACACTCCCTGCCTACAACGTCTCAATCACTATTTAGAGTTTTAACTTCTGAACCAAAGGGTTTCACCGCGGCCCGCAATACATCAGAAGAAGATAATGCGACTGCGGAATTTATACAAAATTACTATTTTCTCGCATTGTCGATTTTAGTAGATTTTTCAACAATTCCTTTTCTCGGATATGTGCTTAGCACGCGATTGCCCCCCCCCCCCTCTTTTTCTCTTCTTTTTTAAGCATTTCGATTTCTTTGAAGCGTTTATCAGAGGCAAGGGATTGGTACATTTCAAACAGGCGCGTCGGAGATTAGCCTTAATTTGTGCCCAAAAGCCGCGTACTTGAGATCAGCTGCGTGCGTAGCGGCGGCGGTTATCGCCTGCGGGCTTCAACGGCAATGTCTAGGACGTCTCAGCTTCGCCGCGATTTCCTGATGGCGGACGAACCGTATCGCTCTCTTTCAGAAAACCACAAAACTACAGCGTCGAAAGGAAAATCACACCGCGCCCTTAAGTCGATCGGCCAAGCAGGAAACTCACAATGGAGTCCAAGATGCACCTCTACTAACAGAGCTACCAAAGAGGAGGGAAATTTAAAAGCGAGATCAAGACTAAACATGTTTAAGCAGAAATGCAGAGAGACTGCGTGAACGTGTATTACATTTCATAGGACCACGATAGTCTTTCATCCCTTACAAATTATAGTTTCGCTATACAATGGAGATATAGTTAATAATTTCCTTCATCTGGCTAAAAAAAACAACAACAAAACAGACCTGGAGTGCGGTAAGATAAATTTCGCATGCATAATTCATTGAGAAACGAAATGTTAGAAATTCATATGTTCTAGTACTCACGTTTCGAT